ACAACAACAGTCATCACCATAAGAGTCACCTCCATAATAGTCACCACCATAACAGTCACCACCACAAGAATCACCACCTCAACAACAGTCACCACCTCAACAAAAGTCACCACCATAAGTCACCACACAACAGTCACCATCACAACAGTCACCGCCACAAGAGTCATCACCACAGCAGTCACCACCACTACAGTCACTACCACAACAGTCACTACTACAACAGTCACCACCACAACAGTCACCACCACAACAGTCACTACCACAACAGTCATCACCACAACAATCACCACCATAAGTCACCACCACAATGGTTACCACCACATAGTCACCGTCACAACAGTCACCACCACAACAGTCACCACCACAATAGGCACCACCACAACAGTCACCATCACAACACTCACCTTCATAATAGTCACCACCAAAACAGTCACTACCACAATAGTCACCTCCACAACAGTCACCACAACAACAGTTGCCACCACTTCAGTCACCACCCCCACCAGTCACCACCACACCAGTCACCACCACAACAACAGTCACCACCACAATAGTCACAACAACAACAGTCACCAGTAAAACAGTCACCACCACAACAGTTACCACTACAACATTCACCACCACAAATCACCACCACAGCAGTCAACACCACAACAACAGTCATCACCATAAGAGTCACCTCCATAATAGTCACCACCATAACAGTCACCACCACAAGGAATCACCACCTCAACAACAGTCACCACCTCAACAAAAGTCACCACCGTAACAGCCACCAACACAACAGTCACCATCACAACAGTCACCGCCACAAGAGTCATCACCACTGCAGTCACCACGACTACAGTCACTACCAAAACAGTCACTACTACAACAGCCCACCACCACAACAGTCACCACCACAACAGTCACTACCACAACAGTCATCTCCACAACAATCACCACCATAAGTCACCACCACAATGGTTACCACCACATAGTCACCGTCACAACAGTCACCACCACAACAGTCACCACCACAATAGGCACCACCACATCAGTCACCATCATAACACTCACCTTCATAATAGTCACCACCAAAACAGTCACTCCCACAATAGTCACCTCCACAACAGTCACCATCACAACAGTCACCACCACAACAGTCACCACCACAACAGTTACCATCACAACAGTTACCACCACAACAGTCACCACGACAAAAGTCACCACCACAACAGTCACCATCACAACAGTCACCATCACAACTGTCACCACCACAACAGTCACCACCACAATAGTTACCTCCACAACAGTCGCCATCATAACAGTCACCATAACAACTGTCACCATCACAAGTCACCACCACAGTAGTCACCTCCACAACAGTCACCACCACAACAGTCACCATCACAACAGTCACATTGTAACCAAGGTTTGGATGGTAGTGTAGGGTTTCAGATATGTGTGTGTGTGTGTGTGTGTACTCACCTATTTGTACTCACCTATTTGTGGTTGCAGGGGTCGAGTCTTAGCTCCAGGCCCAGCCTCTTCACTGGTTGCTACTGGGTCCTTCTCTCTCCCTGCTCCATGAGCTTTTATCATACCTCGTCTTAAAACTATGTATGTTTCCCGCCTCCACTACGTCACTTTCCCAGGCTATTCCACTGCCTGACAACTCTATGATTGAAAAATACTTCCTAACATCCCTTTGACTCATCTGAGTCTTCAACTTCCAATTGTGACCTCTCGTTTCTGTGTCCCCTCCCTAGAACATCCTGTCTTTATCCACCTTTTCTATTCCGTGCAGTATTTTATATGTCGTTATCATGTCTCCCCTGACCCTACTGTCCTCCAGTGTCGTCAGGCCGATTTCCCTTAACCTTTCTTCATAGGACATTCCCCTTAGCTCTGGAACTAACCTTGTCGCAAAACCTTTGCACTCTCTCTTTAAATTTCTTGACGTGCTTGATCAAGTGCGGGTTCCAAACAGGTGCTGCATACTCCAGTATGGGCCTGACGTACACAGTGTACAGTGTCTTGAACGATTCCTTACTAAGGTTTTGGAACGCTGTTCTCAGGTTTGCCAGGCGCCCATATGCTGCAGCAGTTATCTGGTTGATGTGTGTGTGTATATGTGTGTGCTCCTCTAGTTGTGGTTGCAGGGGTCGATGCATAACTCTTGATGTGCGCCTCAGGAGATGTGCTCGGTGTTATACTCACTCAAGATCCTTTTCTTTGAGTTAGATTTGTAGGCTCTGGCTCCATAGATTGTACTCCGTCTGTGGTCTTCTCTTGCCCTTTCAATCTTCATGACTTTGCACTTGGTGGGGTTGAACTCCAGGAGCCATTTTCTGGACCAGGCTTGCAGCCTGTCTGGATTACCCTGTAGCTCTGCCTGATCCTCGTCCGATTGAGTTCTTCTCATCAACTTCTCATCATCCGGAAGCATGGACACTTCGGAGTCTATTCCTTCCGTCATGTCATTCACAAATACCAGAAACAGCACCGGTACTAGGACTGATCCTTGTGGCACGCCGCTCGTTGCAGGGGCGCACTGTGACACCTCGGCACGTACTATGACTCGCTGTTGTCTTCCTGACAGTTATTCCCTGATCCACTGTAGTACCTTCCCTGTTATCCCTGGCTGGTCCTCCAGCTTCCTCACTTATCTCTTGTGTGGGACTGTGTCAAACGCCTTCTTACAGTCCAAGAAAATGCAGTCTACCCACCACTCTCTCTCTTGTCTTTCTGCCGTCACCTTGTCATACGACTCCAGTAGGTTTGTGACGAAGGATTTCCCGTCCCTGAAACCGGGCTGGTTGTCGTTGATAAGCTCATTTCTTTCTAGGTGCTCCACTACTCTTTTCCTGATAATTTTCTCCATGACTTTGCGTACTATACACGTCATTGACACTGGTCTGTAGTTTAGTGCTTCGTGTCTGTCTCCTTTTTTAAAAATTTGGACTACATTTGCATTATTTGAAAAAATGGCAGATGAAGTTCAATGTGGATAAGTGTGAGGTACTAGTGGAAATATAAGCACCTAAGCAGTATAATGTGATCCTTTTTTGAAGAACGT